TTGTCACTTGATTTCTGATTAATCAATTGAACCGTTTCAGTGCATGTGTGACAAAGTGCTTTTCATAATGTTCTTTATGCCGTGTACTATCTCAGGCGCGGATCCAGGATTTTCCAATAAGGGGGGGGGGGGGGGGGCCGGAAATTTCAAAATTGCGCAGACCATTTTTCAAGAACATATTAGAAGCACCATACCGGTACAATTTTTCACATTTTCATCGGGGGGGGGGGGGGCTATAGCCTCTTGCCCGAAAAGTAATTTGCTGGTTTCACAATTCGGCTAGTGAGCGAAGCGAGCGAGCAACAATTTGAGCATAATATTGTGAAAGTGTTATTTATCACCAAAATAAACGAGAAAATATATAATAAAAAACTCATATTCGGGCAGCTTGTTGTACCATTCTCGACTCGTATTCCTTGTCTGAATTCAGTTTTCCCCCTCCCGCGCAAAGCGCGGAAGCTTTGACCTTTTATAGTTTAAATTGAAATTATTGGGAAAGATGATTCGTTGTACCGTTCCTGACTCTTAATCCTTCTCTGAATTCAGTTTCTCCCTCCCGAGCGAAGCGCGGAAGCTTTGACGTTTCATTAAATTATTAGAGAAGGAAGACGATTTGTTGTACCATTCTCGACTCGTATTCCTTGTCTGAATTCAGTTTTCCCCCTCCCGCGCGAAGCGCGGAGGCTTTGACGTTTTATTAAATTATTAGAGAAAGAAGACTATTCGTTGTACCGTTCTAGACTCTTAATCCTTGTCTGAATTCAGTTTTCCACTTCTCGCGCAAAGCGCGGAAGCTTTGACCTTTTATAGTTTAAATTGAAATTATTAGAGAAAGATGATTCGTTGTATCGTTCCTGACTCTTAATCCTTGTCTGAATTCAGTTTCTCCCTCCCGCGCGAAGCGCGGAAGCTTTGACGTTTCATTAAATTATTAGAGAAAGAAGACGATTTGTTGTACCATTCTCGACTCGTATTCCTTGTCTGAATTCCCCCCCCCCTCCCGCGCAAAGCGCGGAAGCATTGACCTTTTATAGTTTAAATTGAAATTATTAGAGAAAAAAGATGATTTGTTGTACCGTTCTAGACTCTTAATTCTTGTCTGAAATCAGTTTTTCCCCTCCCGCGCAAAGCGCAGAAACTTTGACGTTTCATTAAATTATTAGAGAAAGAATACTATTCGTTGTACCGCCATCGACTATTTATCCTTGTCTGAAATGAGTTCCCCCTCCCTCCCGCGCAAAGCGCGGAAGCTTTGACGTTTCATTAAATTATTAGAGAAAGAAGACGATTCGTTGAACCGTTCTCGACTCTTAATCCTTGTCTGAATTGAGTTTACCCCCCCCCCTCCCGCGTGAAGCGCGGAAGCTTTGACGTTTCGTTAAATTATAAGGGAAAGGAGACGATTCTTTGTACCATTCTCGACTCCTTGTCTAAATTCAGTGTTCCCCTGCCCGCACATAGCGAGTAAGCTTTGACGGTTCATTAAATTATTAGAGGAAGAAGACGATTCATTGTACCATTCTCGTCTCTTTATCCTTGTTTGAATTCAGTTTCCCCCCCTCCCGCGCGAAGCGCGGATACTTTGACGTTTCATTAAATTATTAGAGAAATAAGATGATTCGTTGTTCCATTCTCGACTCTAAACCCTTGTCTGAATTCAGTTTTTCCCAGCGCGCGCGTAGCGCGTAAACTTCTGACGTTTCATTAAACGATTAGACAAAGAAGACGATTCGTTTTACCATTCTCGACTCCCAATCCTTGTCTGAATTCAGTTGCCCCCCTCCCGAGCGATGCGCGGAAGCTTTGACATTTCATTAAATTATTAGAGAAAGAAGACGATTTGTTGTACCATTCTCGACTCGTATTCCTTGTCTGAATTCCCCCCCCCCCCCTCCCGCGCAAAGCGCGGAAGCATTGACCTTTTATAGTTTAAATTGAAATTATTAGAGAAAAAAGATGATTTGTTGTACCGTTCTAGACTCTTAATTCTTGTCTGAAATCAGTTTTTCCCCTCCCGCGCAAAGCGCAGAAACTTTGACGTTTCATTAAATTATTAGAGAAAGAATACTATTCGTTGTACCGCCATCGACTATTTATCCTTGTCTGAAATGAGTTCCCCCTCCCTCCCGCGCAAAGCGCGGAAGCTTTGACGTTTCATCAAATTATTAGAGAAAGAAGACGATTCGTTGAACCGTTCTCGACTCTTAATCCTTGTCTGAATTGAGTTTACCCCCCCCCTCCCGCGTGAAGCGCGGAAGCTTTGACGTTTCGTTAAATTATAAGGGAAAGGAGACGATTCTTTGTACCATTCTCGACTCCTTGTCTAAATTCAGTGTTCCCCTGCCCGCACATAGCGAGTAAGCTTTGACGGTTCATTAAATTATTAGAGGAAGAAGACGATTCATTGTACCATTCTCGTCTCTTTATCCTTGTTTGAATTCAGTTTTCCCCCCTCCCGCGCGAAGCGCGGATACTTTGACGTTTCATTAAATTATTAGAGAAATAAGATGATTCGTTGTTCCATTCTCGACTCTAAACCCTTGTCTGAATTCAGTTTTTCCCAGCGCGCGCGTAGCGCGTAAACTTCTGACGTTTCATTAAACGATTAGACAAAGAAGACGATTCGTTTTACCATTCTCGACTCCCAATCCTTGTCTGAATTCAGTTGCCCCCCTCCCGAGCGATGCGCGGAAGCTTTGACATTTCATTAAATTATTAGAGAAAGAAGACGATTCGTTGTACCGTTCTCGACTTGTCAGAATTTTCAAAAATGTTTCTTTGTCTGCTCCTTTTTTCGTCCTTTGTCATCTTACTGCCCCTACCGCCCCTGGCTACGCGCCTGCTTTAAAGGGAAAATGAAACAATCATGATTGTGATGGCACACAATTAGGTTAGTAGAAATGAAATGGAAAAAAGATCTATTACACCAACCATGGATAAATCACGGCCGGGAGCGTCATAGTTTTGTGTTATCGGGCGAGGGCCGCGCGGCCGGCCGGGGCGTAGCGACCACGCGAGATTTTGCAATGTTGAATGCTGAAATTATGCATTCTAGAAAATCCCTGAGCCGAATATATACGTTCTTTCCGCTATATTTCTTTCTAGCTATATTTCTAAATTTCCTGGGGGACGTGTCCCCCTATCGGGCCCAGGATTGCCGCCCCTGTCCATGATTACTACCAACATGAGTTCAAATATAAGCACAAGCGAGTTGGTATGAGCTGAATCCAAATGAAGGGCAAAATAAGAGTTGTGAAGCGGCCCTACCGTTAATTTAAAATTTGACTGTTGAGTATATAACTTCAATTTAAAAGACACCCAAAATATTGTGCCCTTTCAATTTTCTCACTTAAGAGTGATGACCTTTGTAGCGCAGGGGCTGTTCTTAACGTTTAAATTTGAATCCGCGGCTCGAGATTTTATGCGGCCGGCCCGGCCCCCCTCTATTCAATAATTTCGTTATCTTTTCTCTTCTCTTTTCTTTTCTCTTCTTTTTTTCTTTCTCCCCTCCTTTCTTTTCTCTTCTCCTTTTTTTCTCCTCTTCTCCTTTCTTTTTTTCTCTTCTTTTCTTCCTCTTTTTTTCTCCTTTTTTTTTGCGCCGCCAATAGGGGGGCCGCGGCCGTTTCGGCCCCCCTGGATCCGCCACTTCCATCTGATTAATATCGTGAATGGGAAAAATAGGCCTTCGCGTGCGAAGCGTGTAATTGCGTGATGGCCACTCCTTGCGTGCGAGATGATGGTGGATAATAGCTGGTCGAGATTGCGTGTTGGGCTGCGTTTCCCGTTGCAAGGGTAGGAAAATGGGAAGAAGGGTCATACCAATAAACAACTACTAATGGTTTTGGTAGATTTATAGTTAGTATTAAGGGTTCAACGTTTGGAAGACTTCTTCTTCTTATTTTTATCGAGGTGGGGGGGGGGGGGGGGAGTACAGCTTTTACTGTAATTCAGATATGTTCATATGTTGGGATGCACCATGATCAGACACCATTTCATCTTCGTTATAGTCTTTCCTCTTCTATCGTTTATTTGCTTGTATTCTACCTTAAAAAGACGTTTTAAATAGGCAATTTGATTAAAAACCTTTTTAAAATTCAAGATTTTATAGGTAGCTATTATTTAGCATGTTCAGATATCAGTAACATTTCTTATAAATGGGGATGTAAAGAGAAACTTCATAATGTTGCCTTCCTTACCTATCTTCACGGTACATTTCATCAATAAAACATATAATTGAAAATCAAACTTAATGTTGACAGGTGAATTATCTAAGAAACACTATTATGCATTTGAAAAGTGATTTGCTCATTCCATCAGTTTTCCAAATCGAACTATAAAGTCATTGTATTCTTTTATCTGATGAGTGATTTCATAGCTTACTATCGTATTCTTTTTTGTATTTCATTGTTTTGACAAATCGGACTAATTCGCTCTATTCTTGTATTTGTTTTGATTTGTTTTAATGTCCTCTTTTGTGTTTGTATTTTATCTGTGACACAAGAAGTCTTTCCTATCTTTCCTTTGCCTATTTTTTTTCCCCCATCAAACTTTCTACTTTTTCCGGGGAGACCTATTTTGGATTCGCTGGTTATTCGTGGACTGGCTTATAATGATACCTAGATTTTGTTCTCTACTTTTTCCTGATTTGATGTGATTTTATAATATTCAAAGATATGTTTGTTACAATAATGGATTGACCAAAGACAATACATGTATACACTGTGCGTGTGATCGTCTTTGGATCCATAGCGCACATTCCACGGCGAAAGTCAATGCCCTGTAATGGAAGCAAACGTAGTAGAGCGTTGATTGACGTGGCGTGACAAAGCTTCGACCAATCATAAGCCTCCTGTAATTGAGGTCGGGCTAAGGTGGGCGGGCACTTTGGCTCATTCACGGCCGATTGGGGAGGCGGTTCAACGGTTTCGAGTTTGGTGAGGGGGCGTGTCTTTGAGAGCAACATATTTTACGCAACTCTAGTTTTGACACTTTTCATCTACGGCGAAGGGAGTGTAGTATTTTTTTTCGAGCGACGATGAGGTGTTGCGAACAGCTGAGGTGATTTCCGCAGAATTATCATTCACGAATGACCTAGGATTTGCTCCTATAAAAAGACGGGCAAGTCATACTACGTTCATAATCTGTCTGCCAAGCAACCAAACCTCAGCGAGGCAAAGCTTTCATCAACCCACGACCTGCGAAGAACGCCAGCTGGAAATATGAGCGAGAGCAAAGCCAAATCGCTGCCTGGCCCATGGGGGTTGCCGATCTTGGGTAACCTGCTAAACCTCGGCAGTGACGAGCCGCACGTAGCTCTGATGAAATTAGCCAAAGAATACGGCAACGTCTATCAAATTCGACTAGGCAGTCGACCTGTGGTTGTACTTTGTGGCCAGGAGGCTATTAGGAGTGCTCTTGTACGGCAGCCGGTGGCTTTTGCGGGTAGACCTGATCTTGCATCTTTCCAATTTATCAGAAAGAACACAGATGTAACCGTCGCTTTTCAGACAAACGATGCGACCTGGAAATTGCATCGTAAACTCGCCGAGTCCTCGATTCGATTCTTCGTCTCGGGACAACGAAAATCGAGCCTCGAATCAACTGTTACGCAAGAGGTCGAATCGCTGATCAACTACTGGACCAACAATAACAATAACGACGACAACCTGCAGATCGACCCCGTTAATTTGATCAAACTTTCAGTGAGTAACGTGATGTTATGGTGCATCCTCGGCAAGCGACATTCACTCGATGATTCTCGACTTCGCGAATTTGTATCGAAATCAGACGATTTCGCTGTAGCAGTCGGTAGTGGAAACATCGCAGATTTCATGCCGTGGGTTCGTTTCGTCACAGTTCGTACCACGCAAAATCTCAAAAAGCTACTTAACACATTCCGTGGTTGGTTTATGCCATACATCGAGGAGCATCGCCTCCAGTACGAGCAGGACTCTGAGAAGGATATTCTCGATTACCTCGTCACGTCGTCGAACAAACTTGACGAGGCAGACCTCCAGCAACTAGGAGTGTCCCGTGAAGCATTGCAAATCTCGACTGTATTCGACCTCTTTGGTGCCGGGTTTGACACCACGTCCGCCATCATCACCTGGCAGCTGTACTACGCGATCCGTCATCCCGCTGTCATTGCCCGAGTCCAAGCCGAGCTCGACGATGTCGTTGGACGAGACCGCCTCCCAAACCTCACCGACCGTGATCACCTCCCACTGACTCAGGCGTTTCTGCTCGAGACCTTCCGTCACTCGTCCGTGGTGCCGTTCACCATCCCGCATAGTACGACCACGGATACCACCCTCCTCGGCTACCATATCCCTAAGGACACCGTAGTCTTCGTCAACCTCTACTCGGTCCATCATGATCCAGATACATGGCACCGACCATCCGACTTCGACCCAGAGCGCTTCATCGACAACGAAACCGGTCTCGTTGATAAGACAAAGGCGGATGCCATCATGCCATTCGGAGCTGGGCGGAGGCGATGCATCGGCGCTGAAATGGGCCGCATCCAATCATTTCTTTACTTTGCTATTTTGATACACCAGTGCCATGTCAGTTCCTTAGACAAAGCATCACTGGACAATAAGCCTATCTATGGCCTGACCATGCGACCTTCACCTTTCAACATCTGCGTGAGTAGGAGGTAATACCTCACCAAACAATTATAACAAAACTGCCTCATCTCTGTCATCAGCTTTAATATTATTCATCGAAAAGAAGATCAGAGAAGTGACTAATTTGTTTACATCATTCTTATGAACGGTCTACTTTCTTTCCCATCTGCTTATTCAACCACTTTATCCAATTAGAGAAGTCAGTTCTTAACTGTTTTAATGGTAGCATTGCTGCACGTATATTTTATCAGATATCAGAATTAAAATCATAAAGAATCTTTGTGGACGAAAACACTTAAAATTACATACTTGAACTCCGGAAGTATTATATTTCTCTTTTATTTGTTGATAAATTCAATTCATTGCAATTTTTCTTCCATTATATATGTCACGTTTCCCATTATCCAGAATTTTATTTTAACAGTAATAGCGACGACCTTCTCTTCTTGTGTGTTAAATTTAATAGAAGAATGTTGTAACATTGAGACAATTATTAACAGTTTTACTTTTTTTTTACAAGAACAACCAATTAGAACGCAATTTACCCGAAAGGCGTTTCTGATTGATTGATTTGCGGTTAGTCATGCAGTATCACTTAGTCGAAAGACGATGGATGTAAATATCATATTGTATATTGTAAATACCAACGGGACTATTTTTGTGTATATTTGGTAATGTGAAAATCATATTTATTCAATGTAAATACAGACTAATGTTTAGGCATTTATATACATACATGTAAAAACTTAATAATTTGTTTATGTGAAATCATATGGTATTAAATTTACCTCATTATTTTTTTTTACGTATTGCATAGTGGCAGTTCATATTACTGCTTAAAAGAGATGACACTATTACAAAAAACGTGAAATATCACAATCCAGGATATCACATGACGTTGAACATAATGAACGCTGAACCGTCCTTTTTAACATGTTTGAGATTGATAAGCTGATTTCTTTTTGTCAACCCTTACTCCACAAATAATATAAGCATTTACACTCGTGGAATGTATAAATGCACATCTTTAAAGAATATTTTCGACCAAATACGGACTCTAAGTATGACACTCATTTTCAATAAAAACGGAAAAACAGGTATTATTGCATTATTAAATTTAAAAAACAACCTCCAGAATGTGTTTTATTTTCATACTTTGCGCTTTGATAAATGTGTAATATATTCAACTAAGATATTTTGAATGTTTTCAAATAATCCTTTGTTAACGGTGCACTACATGTAGTGATACATTTTGGTATTGAATTGCAAATATTTGTATTCAGTTTTAATTTAATTGTTTCTAATTGATTTTAACCTAGTTGATTCACCAATTTGAAATACCACTTTGAAAAAAAATATATAATTCGCAAATCGTCATAAAAAGAATTTGGTTTACCTGCTATTAAAAAAGAAAATATTGAGTGATATATTGTATTACCTGTATATCACGAAGGCTGTATAAGTTACCGTTAAATCATATGAGTACGTCTTTGAAAGAGTTAAAAGATTGATTTATAATATACTGACTGATTATTTTTTGGTTAAGATTCCAAAATTATTAACTTGCTAACACCCATTTACTTTCATTAGTTCGATATTACAAAAACCGTCTAGCATAAGCACAAAAAGAGAACTAGAAATACAACTCCTATCATGCCAATACTTTCGTTATACCAAAACCCTTTGAAAATCAAGATTTTTAGATAAAATGGTTGCCACTTTAAAATGCCATCTCAGGAAAACAATTGTAGTGAGTAAACTTGATTCTATTCTTTACTTTCGTTTGTATAATTAACGACCATTCTAACTTAGCTAAGAATCTTTATTTTTAAGAATGGACAAGAAATGTACATTATTTGTATCCTCGTGTCTGGAACATTTAGAGCCAATTTGGAAGACTCTTTAATAAAATGAGAAAAAAATATTACTGCCTAAATCTAGTATTACTTGTTGGTGTGAATTCAATTATGCAGATATTCATTAATTTTGGGTATTACTTGCTGGATGAAGGGATGACTTCATGTATTATGAAACTCTACTCTGCAAGCTGTACATTTATATGAATTGTTGATTGATGAGGATTGTCTGATTTATTTATTTATTCATTATTTGTACATTTATTTATTTATTATTTATTTGATTGGTTGTTTGGTTGATTGATTGACTGACTGATTTATTAGTTAATTGGTAAGGGTTGATCGATTGGTTGAGTTTTTTGTTGGTGGATTAATTAACTGATTGGTAAGGGTTATCGTTTGATTAGTTTTTGTTGGTTGATTCATTGATTTATTGATAAATCTATTGAATGATCGAGCTGCATGACTGAGTGAACAGTGAACGACTGAGAGGAGGCTTGTGACAGAGCATTGTTATTAAATGATAATTAGATAATAATAAAAAATACTTATGAACTATGCAAACATTTCACTGCAAATATGACAACAACATAGTATTGATATCTTAGTTAAAGTTCCTTGGAATAAATTGTTCAGGAGAGTAAATAATTTATTTACATCTCAACAATTGGAAGTTTCCCCTTATTGCGTCACATTTACAGTTTCCAGTAGGTCCAATTCTGCAATTTGAAATTGGCAATAAATTCTTATTACAGTCTCCTCAAAATTTCACGAAGTCTGTTCCTCAAGATTTTTTGCCTTAACGCAATTTAAGTTGTTCAAAAAGTTGAATTGATCTTTAACATCCCCTTTTCCTGACGCAATCAACTTTCTGCACGTTCAAGTTCGGAGACAGAACAAGGTTAGCTTTCCAGAAGGTCAATCGCCTGCAGGGCCCAGGTTCAGGTTGCAAAATCATCTCTCCAATACTGTCTCACAGATTTCACTTCTCGTATACAGATTGATTCGAGTCTCTTCAATTTCATCAAGCTCAACAATTGATTGATTACCTTCTGTATAAGTCAAACTTGTTATTATTTACTCATTCTAAGCTTCAGTTGTCGCTTGTTGTATTCCTAGTTGTAAGAAAAATATGAATGATCGTACAACTAAAAATGAGGTTTTTTTCAAATCCAAGATCTAGAATGAGTATTTTTTAATAATCATAGTAATATGGCCATTGCCAATATTTACTAAATAACTATTTTAATCCTACTTTTACAATTATCCCATCATTCCCATGTTTCATTTTCATTCGCTTTTCTTTTTCTCAGTTTCTGCTTCCTCCCCCTGTAGGCCTATCTACTTTTCTAATTCGAGTTCATTATTAAAAAATATAAACACATACCTTTCCAGAAAACATGTATGAACTATTCTTGAATATGACATTGGTCATTAATATTTTGATCCATGGCCATAACATAATGTCCATTCTCCAACATTCATAATACATTAAGCAATTCAGTGGAAGCATTTTCAGCATACTATATGTGTCCATTTTCTCTTCTTGGTTTGGAATGACAAAGATATATGTCACCTGTATTGACATCTTAGACTTTCAAGAAAATCAATCCTAGGCAATTTTAATAGAACTGTGCATCACCTTTTAACACCTGCAACATATGTGAACAATGATATTATATAAAAACGAACACGATTTCTATGGGCAATACAGTTAGGTATCGAAATAGCCCCCAAGTTATCTATTTATCTTAAAGGGGGTGTCCACCCTGATATTCAGTTGGATTTTACAAACGCAAACAAATTAGAGAAACAAGTTATAGTGACAGTTTGAGCAATATTCTAATAAAGATAGGAAAGTTATGAATCTTTGGAGTTGTCATCAGTGAAACACAAATTGGCAACGGTGTGACATATCTTTCCGAGCTCCTCTACAATTTGCTCAGTAAAGACAATTTTATAAACTTTCTTAATTATTGATGACGGAATAGATTTGTTTTATACAGGGGTTGTATATAAACATTATTTGCGACAATTATATTTGGGTGAATGTATGATTGAAAGAAAATACTTTTTTTGTCTTCTTCTTTTTTTTTTTTGTAACAGGGCAAATGGGAGGAGAGCTGGCAAGATCTGTCACAGAGTTGCCAATTCGTGTTTGACTGATCGCACCCTTATATATTTTGTTTTTCTTTTTTTAACCTTTTGTGCTCAAACCTGCACTGAGCTATCTCTCTCCTTTTTTGCTTTTATTTAAAAAGAAATTAATCTGGGAGTGAATTACCCCTTTAGTATAATTCCTCTTTAACTGTATAGACGACAAATTCTTTTAGATTCTAGATATGTCACTCGAAACCAGTACTGGAAAAGTACTTATTGATCAATTTGTATCTTTATGTATACATACATCTCTCAAAAAGCATATGTCATTAATCATTCTGAATCATTCAGCATTCTAATATTTTCTTTTCTTCATGAAATTAATAACCACCACGCTCTCTCGAGGATCGATCATTCGTTGGTTCATAACCCTTCCTCATATTGGTCCCCGTCCCGCAAGGTGCAAGCCCGCAAACCCTAAAACCGCAAACTTTCAACAGGCAGGTTCAAAAGAGTTGTTGAAAACAATAATAAAACACAAAATTGCGTGCTGCCCCGGTGTTGCGTTATCTCCACAGCCGAGACATTCTCTTCTCATGGGCTTTTCAAAGTCACAATTCGGGGAATCATTTTTGTTGGTAGCTCACCAACTTTTCTCCCCTCGTTCTAACCAGTGTCTGGCTTTACAGGAAGCACACGTGCATGCTGGGACACCATTCTTTTATTTTTGGCTTCACGTGTGTAAATTAAACTCGTGACGCTTATCATTTTGAACCGAACAGAAACAAAGATTAAGAGAGAAAAAAATGAACTTCAGTTCACACGCTATACCCTAATCGAGAGAATGAACATCCCCAACCATCTAAAAATCCTGCTCTTGAGATAGGAACACCATTATATTTCAATATAAGCATTCCAAATCCGAAAGATTTCATAGGATAAGAAAAACATAAGGAGAGGAAAAGGTTGGAATTTATTTGACACGCAATACCCTTATCGAAAGGGTGAGGTAAAGGCGGCCCTGCATGGCAAAGATGATTAAAGGGAAAGTGGGAAGAATGGGAAGAATCGTTATGGATCTGAATTGTTTGCACTTCTAAAAGACAGAACCTTATATTAGTACCTTCATAGAAAACAAAAACTCTTTAAAAGTTGCATTATTTTCATCACACAAGGAGGATTTATTTCTTTTCATACTTGTTGGGTATAATTATTGCTGTACTCCGTTTCATGTTTGTGACACTGGCCCTCTGAAATTACCGCAAGATGTATCAAGATTTCATATAATTTGTAAGTTACGGATCCCTGGGAAATGCATGAGGGGTTCTTTGATAAGATCAATGATGAAACCCAATCTTAAGAGCAAACAACTCTAAAAGAAAGCAGACAAATCAGAGAAGAAGATAGGTGAAAGTTTAAACAAAATCGGACAAAAAATAAGAAAGTTGTGAATTTTTAAAGTTGTAGTTTTTAAAGGTACAGGCTCTTCAAATTTGCTGCTTCTGTAAGTATATGTGATGTCGTGGCGGACAACTTTCCCGCTTGTTCAAACACTCAAAAAGACTATAATTTTTCTTTTTGCAAAAATGTACGGCTCAGGGTGATCTTTCCGCTTTTTACATGATGATATGCTATTCATAATATATTATGAGTGCCCCAAGGGAGAGGCAATTAGGAGAAGAACACACATTTTTATACATGTATATTTTTTTTACGACAAACGGGATAGTCAATGTATCTACGACTACGACACAATCCCTCGATCAAAATTGCCAATTAGAGATTCGCATACATTTAGTGATCGTAACGTTCGTAAGCATTTGCTGCTCAGTGAGATTAGCCCCTTAAAGTGAAACGATATGATTGGGCGTCGTGTTGGTCTACAACCAGTTCGTCTACTACGCAATAGACCATTTTCGTTATGTAATCAACATTAGGCATAAATCTTCGTTAATAGCCTCGTTACAAAGTATTTCATTCACCTGTTACGAATGACGATATTTCAATATAGTCAGAATGCGAGTTGCATAATTCTGCAAGGTAGGACAAACATTACGGCTTGTCCTACTAACATGTATGCAGAACGCATTCTGTCTATTGAAATACAATTATTCATAACAGGTGAATGAAATAATTTGTAACGAAGCTTTGATTTTAACAAAGATTTGTGCAATAAATTTGATTACATCACAAATGACTTTCTCAATTGGTCTAATCCCATATGGTCTACACCCACCCTACCTAATATCCACATGTTCTAATAATCATTCCGTCCATTTATCATTTGGTCTAATGACCATTTAGGCTGATATTCATTTGGTCTAATGTCCATTTGGTCAATCTCCTATAACTTTATTATCCATTTGGTCTCATAATCATTCAATCTTAAATGATAATAATCATCAACCTTCATGAATGTTGATCATGGCCAAATATATACATTTAGTGATCTCATATTTCAAACATTCAAAACTTTCTTAATATTTGTACGATTTATTTCAATCTTTCACCATTCTGTATATCTTACTTTTCCGCTTTTATACAAATGAACTTCATTACAATTAGGGTTAGATTGCCCTTAGACCCTTAACCTATGCACGAACTTCGACAACCTTTTCCCATTGTCTCTATCGTTGCTTTGATTGCTGAACTGCTATCTGACACCATGCGCAAAGTAATATTTTGCATCTCAAGAGATAGTTCTTAAATTATATGGGGGCGTCTCGTCGGTCCGTCCTCAGGATAGTGGGGAAGTTACAGTGAATTACATCCTTTTTAACATTATGATACAATTTGAATGAAATTTTACCATTTAACACTTTAGAGGGGCTTTAAATAGAAGGTTGAGTTTTGGGAAGAGGTGAAAAGTAATTTGTGAGCATTATCATTGTATTATGCAAGTGTGGAAGTACACCAGATACAAAATGTCCCCTGAAAAGCATGGCTCTTCAAATAATAATAATAATAA